ACCAAGCTCAACAACCTGAAACCCTCACAGTGAAAAGAAAACTGACTCCCCCAAGCCATCTCGGAACCCTGTGCAAGCTATCGTTTCCTTTGGAAGCTTCTCGGGTGTTGAAGGTTGGTAGGTTCACATTTAGTTACTTGTATGTGGTACACTTGTGCCACCATGCACAAACATGCAGAAGCCAGAGGACAACATGCTAGAGTTAGTTCTCTATCTCTACCAAGTAGGTTCCAAAATTCAAATTCAGGCCATCAGACATGGCAGCGAACACCATTATGCACTGGCCATCTTGCTGCTGGTCCAATGCTGTGTTCTTGGGGACACACAATGTGCTGGAGGTAGAGGTCAGTGGCAGAACATTTGCTACCATGAGTGAGGCCCTAGGTTCTCCCAGGATCACAAAAGACTTTAGAAGAGGGCCAGTGCAGCAGCAGGCAGGAGGCTAACATTTTAACATACTGGATCCAGTTATATGCTCACTCATCTCCCCAGGACTTGTGGCTACTATCATGACATTTTCTATTTAAAGGCTGCTTAGCTAGTGGGCAGCCAATTGCTTACAAAATATAACAATGACCAAGCCATTTTAACTACAATGATTAAAAAGCTGGACAAATTTTATTAGAAAATTTAAAACAAAAGCCACCAACTATAATACCATGGACTGACAGCTACACTCTGTGTTCACGTGAGTCAGGATTCAGCCTTCTCGGCATCCTCTTTTGTAGCAGGCTAGAGTTTCTCCTGGAAGGGAAAACATACCACAGGGCAGTGGTGATTATGTAATTTTTTCCTCAGTGGTAACCACATTAGTAAGAAAATAGGTAGATGATTAATTTGAGAATTGTCACAATCCTTTCAAAGAAACCAAGAGAGATTGTACTGCCATTTGAAATGCAGGAAGGAAGGGCAAAGCTACCTTTAGGAGAAGGAGTGGCATTTTTTAGGCATTTCTGTTTTCAGAGCATGAACATGGCTGCAGTTCATTATCTACTCTGCTACAGAGTACCTCAGCATCAAAAGGCATACCACAACAACTGAAAACAAACTGTGCTTTAATTGTGCATTCAGAATCTTTCCAGGGAAAATCAAAACATCTTTATGTTGAGTCTTAATAATTTCAAAAGACTGATTATATATTGTTTTGTTATTTTTTTAAAAAGTATTTTATTGTTCACAAGTGAGGGTGAAATAAGGCAGAGGTTTACAGAAAAGATGTCCATATATCAAGAAAGAAATAGCAAAATATCTTTTGGTCATAATTTAGAAATAAAGTCATCTATAAAAAGGAGATGGTTTTCCTCAGTTCATCTCTTCCACAGAAGAGTAAAAGCACAATTCTCAACTCCTTGATATCCTCAGCAGGCCACGGATACGTCTGACAAGAGCCTGTATGAAACTATAGCGGGATCGAACTTTTGAATACAACCCTTCAATGTCCAGAAGTTTCTTTTGTAGTGATTCTCCAAAAGCATTGATGGCATCAGACTGAAGCTGGAGGTAACACAGAAAACCTTTTATTATTACATTGTTTTCTCAGGTATCTCATCCTTTGTCTTTTCATTTAAAACACTGTTACACTATTCCAATGTGTTCTTTCTTATATAAAATAAGATGGGCGTATACTTCAGAGGCAGACTGTGTGCCTAGCATGTGCCAGGCCTTGGGCTGGAAACCCAGCACCACCACTACCCCATACCTACCTCACCCACACGTACATTCACAAAAGGCATTTTTCTAAAGTTAAACACTATCAGATTTTGCAATGCGGTACCAAATTAATTAAAAGCTTACATTTCTACCTTAGACTGTCTTGTGGTTTTAATTCCTATACAAATGTGATTAAACTAATGATGTATCTATCTTCAATAGCAACAACTGCTGATGCTGATAAACGAGCAGACACAACAGACAGACAAACCTGGCTCCTCAAGGCCATACCAAGCGTTGTTAAGGGGCTTGGTGGTTAAGAGCAATGGCTACTCAAGGAGATGATGGGACAGACTCAGTAGACTTCCTATGAGAGACCTTACCCTCTCTGAGGAGCAATGGGAGGTGGGGTGGTAGGGATTGGAATGTAAAAAATAAATTAATTCAAAAAGGAGCACCAGCTGCTCTTCAGAGGATCTGGGTTCAATTCCCAGCACTCGAATGGAAGCTTACAACCATGTAAAACTTCAGTTCTAGGAGACCCGATGCCCTTTTCTGACCTCTGTGGGTACCAAAACACATGTTTCGCAGATACACTTTCAGGCAAAACACCCATAAGTAAAATAAAAATCAATGTTTCTTGTTTCTTTAAGTTTCTGTGTGTCAGACTTGTGATAGATAAGTTGCTAAGGGCACTTGGTATTCTCACAAAGAACCAGGATTCAGTTTCCAGCACCCATATCAAGCAGCTCACAGCTGTCTCTGACTCCTGTTCCAGGGTATCTGAAGCCCTCTTCTGACCTAATAAGGTACCAGACACACACATGGTGCACATACATATACACAAACACTTTCATATACACATAAGAATTCTTTAAAAAAAAAAGAAAAAAAGAAAAAAAGTGCCTTTAGGGAATAAAAAGAAACTTTTATTCTCTACTTTTATCAAAAAACCAAGTTTCCCTTTTAAAGAAAAAAGAATATGAGGACAGAATCTTACCTGGTCTATATCGTGTTGGCTCACTAGAGCCAGCCCACTTCTGAAGTCCAGATTGGGTTCTGTGGAAAAGGAATCTAGAGATAAGAGACACAGTGAGCAGCTTTGCTAACATGCGCCTGCGGCACAGCAGAGGCACCTGCCGGCAGCAGCACACAGAACACAGTGATTAGCACCTAAACTCAGCTTTGAGCACTGGAAGCCTGGGACCTATCCCAGTCCAGGATAGGTCTCGCCCTCCCTTTAGGAGTCTAACGAATGCTCACCCACATCAGAACCCCCGGCACAAGAACAATGGCTTCTATCTATTCTTCTGAAAAACCAGCTCTGACATGACTGCAGCTGGAGCAAACTTAACTATAGGAAAACAAAGGACAACAAATAAGCAGGCTCCAGAAAACTTCCCAGGGGCAAGAAGTAAAATACAGAAAAACGGTTGTGTTTACTATTTGGCTCTCCAGCACTCGGCTCACTGAGGAATCTGAAACATGACATTTAAGGTGGCTTGGAATAGTTTGTGGTGTACATCCACAATCCAGCTACTTAGGAGGCTGGATCAATTGAGCCCAGGATTTTAGGGCCTCTCTGGGAAATGAAACAAGACCTTGCTGCAAAAAACAAACAAAAAAAGCTGGCTTTTCAGAGCAGTAAAATGTAGACACTTTCCTGGCTCATTTGTTTTGAGAACAGCTTACCTTGTAGTCTTCTGTTTTTAAAGAAACTCCTACAAGCAAACAAGGAGTCCTGGGAATCTGTTGGCGTGCAATGTAACAAGTAATACTCCAGATGGCGCCAAAGAATAAACAGGCAGGTCTCTATGATAACTGGAGTTCAGATTAAAGAATCTCATCGAGTATTTTTTACAAACCAGTTTCCGAGGAGAAAAAAAAAGAGCCTGTGCTTGATCATGCAACATGAACTTGCTCTAGCAGACAGATGAAGTTCTACTGAACATGCTTCCAGAAAACGCTACAATGTGAGCTATGGGAAGTGAGGCCCACGGGGTATTGTGCCAGCAGCCTCTTGCCCAGACAGTAAGCATCTGCAGACTTTATAGTATCCCTAGCTACTCAAGGAGGTAAGAATAAAAATAAGGAGAAAATACACCAGGTATTTACTGAGCAAAAAAGATAGGTCACTAAACAATAATTATGTCCCTTTCCTTATGGTTTTGGTAGCAAAATGATGTAAGCATTAAGTAAGTGCTGTCTCATTTTAGGGTCTGCACTCTGGGCTGTGGCTGTAGAAGGATACAGGAACAGAGGGACAGCAGCTTGGCACGGTTATTGATCAGCTTCACCAGACGCCGTCTTGCTAAGACACACTTCTGCGCAGTAGAGATTTTATCAACACCAGCAGGCATCACCGACTGGCACAACTAAGGAAAAGAAAAAGTATAAATTGAAACAACTTAAAATAATGTACTATGAACAAGTCATTATAATAAGAACTGTGAAAACACTCAAATGTATTTAGACTGCTTTGTGGACAAGAGTTAATTATCAAAAGATGAGATTTAAAGAAGCAGTCAATTCCCACATGAATGTTTATCTGCTGCCTTTGAAAGTCTCCACTCCTTTGAAAGTCTGGTAGACAGACAGACACTTTCATCCCACAAGTGGCCCACCAGCCCTTGGTGTCCTATTTAATTAAACAAACAGCCCTTTTAAGCAGTAGGTGAAAAAAACCGCGTGAGTTTGTCGAGTAGCTTCAGGCTAAGGTGGGATGGTGGATATGCGTTAGACATAAAGTGATCAGGACTGATATCCCACCCCATCTGTTTGGAAACTTCAGTACAACAAGAAGATGCTGAAGACAGACAACTGCCCAAGTTCTACTGCAAAAACATTTGCAGCAGGAAGCCCCATTTCTCTGCAGCGTTTGAAGAGATTACTGGGAGCTCTTTATTGGGGAGGCCACCCACCCATTTTCTTGAGGAGACACTTGGCTGTTTCTGAAGTCAAGAGGTCCATGCGTATGAGGTATGCGTAAAGGAAAATCAGTGCAGATCCTTTAGTAGCACTGAGTGCCTCATCTTTATCCCCGAGCCCAAGCCTTGTACCTGGGCTCTTGTTGGTGCAGCCAAGACTTTTCCAGTCCCACAGCTCATACAAGGGTCATACCTCTTTTATCTCATCTGGGGGAAGCTGTTCTACATTCTGTAGCTTGTTGACGCTGCGTCGGTGACTGTCATAATAGCTGAAGAAATCGCTGGCACTCTGTTTCAGCAAGTAGACAATAATGCCCAAGCCAGGCAGGCGCCAATATGGAACCATCGGAACCTGGGTATCTAACAGGTAACAAAAAACAGAGTTCTACTTAGACACATTTTCTATCGATTTCATTTGTTTTAAAGAGGAGAACATGAAAGCAGTCCTCTACTACCACACAGATTACACAGTGGAGATTCCTACATTTGGGGAACTCACAGGGGTCAGCAAACCTAGAGTTCCATGGATGAGCCTCACCCTGGGAAAACAACCTTCTGTGAATTTTAGCCATCTGTAAAAATTAGAGATGCTCTATGATTTAGGTCATGTAAGATATGATTAGTAACAATTCAAGACTACATTTGAAAACCACTGCTGGGGCTGGAGAGATGGTTCAGAGCACTGACTGCTCTTCCAGGGGAAGCCAGTTTAATCCCCAGTACTCACATGGTGGCTCACGACTGCCTTCGATGACTCCAGTACCAGAAGATCTGATACCCTCTCCTGGCCTCCAAAGGCACTGTACACAAATAGTGCAAACATGCATGCAGGCAAAACATTCATGCACATGAAATAAAGCGCAATCTCAAAATAAATAAACACTTGTTACCTTAAAACACAAGTGGTTAGGTGCCACTGGAGTCAGATACATATATACAGCTAGAGTCCTTGAGAGAGTAAAGAAATATGGCTACTGGGCACCTTTTATTAGGTGAAGATATAGGCTTGATGAAAAACCACACACCCACCCATATATACTTTTTCGAAGATTTAGGTATGTGAGTGTTTTGCCTTCATGTATGTATGTGTACCATACCATGTCATGCCTATGGATGATGTGAGCTACCATGCTGGTAAATTGAACCTGGTTCCTCTTCAAGAACAGTAAGTGCTCATACCTGCTGAGCCACCACTCTAGTTACACACACACACACACACACACACACACACACACACACACACACACACACACACACACCACACGACGTTCTTGACCCAAACTGAAACAACTGGCACCTTATCCAATGGTTACAGTTACATGCATTTATTCTAATTTGCACTGTTCTGGTTGCTAAACTCATAGTTTTAAGTTATTCTTCCAAAGAAATACTTGAAAAATTAGCTGGAATTAATTTTAACCTGTCTCACTACAACAACTTTCTCTGGGAGCAAAACAAAGCAACTTACCTTTTACTTGGCTACATTTCAGTGAGGGTGCAAAAGAACAGTGAGTTTAGGAATAGCCTGAGCTACAAATTTAGTTTAAGATTAGCCTGGGGTACATAGGAAAACAAAGAAGTCACTGGTGGGTGACTTTAAATCAAAATGGGTCTCCGGACAGGGTTCCTAAGCATTCTATACCAACCTAGTTAAGCTACCCAGACTTCGTTGCAGCAAACTTGGAAGATTCCTTGGAAAGTACCAAGTTCCATTACCACTAAACCAGCTTTGTCACAGGGTGGCCATCTGACCTTCACTACTAACTTCTGAAGACACCAGAGGCTAAGTCAGACTACCTAGCACCTAAAAGTTTGCTGTCATGTGACAGAAATGAGGAAGTGTAATACACGAGCCACTCGGGCACTGAATTCAGCATGAACTGATTCAGGGTATGAAGAAGTTAACTCTATGAGCGTCAGACATCTCGCCCAGTTAGCGCTCTCTTCTGTCCTAGAGGCTTTCTTTGGGATCTCTGGTATTATTTAAAACTATATTCCCCCACCTGGCTCTTACAGTTTTAGCCTCAAAAATCCAAAGACTTTCCTTAATCTGTATGCTTCCAGCCTCACACGCTTCCTTTAAAAAGTCATTTTGTTGTTTGTTTTTTGTTTTTTTGTTTTTTTGTTTTTCGAGACAGGGTTTCTCTGTGTAGCTTTGGAGCCAATGCTGGCACTCACTCTGGAGACCAGGCTGGCCTCGAACTCACAGAGATCCGCCTACCTCTGCCTCGGAGTGCTGGGATTAAAGGTGTGAGCCACCAACGCCCAACTTAAAAAGTCATTTTAAAACAGGCAGTGGTGGCGCACGCCTTTAATCCCAGCAGGCAGGAGGCAGAGGCAGGAGGATCTCTGAGTATGAGGCCAGCCTGGTCTACAAAGTGAGTTCCAGGGCAACCAGGGATACACAGAGAAACCCTGTCTTGAAAACTCAAAAAAAAGGGGGAAAAAGTCATTTTAAAGTTTTCCCATTAGTAATTCATCAAGAATAAAACTGCATCTCATTGAAGTCAAGACAGAGAGCTGATCCCATTGCTAACAATGCTGCTCCTCAGATCCAGTGATTAAACCTGGGCTCACCTTGCCGAGGTCCATCTCTGTTCGTGGTCTCTGACAGGCTCGGGGTAAAGAGACACACGGCACTCTGGAAGGCAGGGGAGCTCTGGAGCATGAGTGACTGGCAATACTCCATTACATTGGCACAAATCTGCAAGAGAAGAAAAGCATTAACTAAAATGTTAGCCTAAAAATTCCTCAAAGTCACAGTAATTTAGACTGCAGGAGAACAAGGTCATAAATCAGTTTGTAAAATTACACAACTGTTATTTTTATCAAAATTTCCAAAACCATAAAACTCCAGGCACACAATTTTCACCCCTCTTACCTGCTGCATGGCCAGCTCAACTTCATCTTTCTTGCTCACCCGGTCTCCCTCCACATTGCCATCCTGAAATTTAAACTGCCGCAGTCTGTCGGAGCCACCAAAGCGACTTAGCAGTCCTAAGCACTGGCGCTGCGGAGAAAAGACACATTGTTCACTGCAGGCTGAGGAGTTTAACATTAGTTACCCCATTTTTCTTGAGATAGTAGGGGAAAAAATTCAGCAGGAGTGGAATTATTCTTGAAATCACATGATATCTTATTTACTACTAAGACTACCTCTAAGGTAGGCTTACCAAAATTCACCTTTTTTCAAAGGGATTCCCCACAAAGGATCCCCAATGTTTCTGAAGAAAATTTATGTCCTATATAAAAACATTTAATAATCCTTTGAGACAGTTACAAAAAGAAATACAAGTTAATAAGTAAATGAAAGCTACATCTAAGAAGGCGATTGCAAGACGGCCAGTGACATGTAGTCGTACCAGCACTCAAACTTAAAGGCTGTTAACTCCAGTTTCTGGGGACCCCCTGGAGGAATTAGGAATTCATAGACAGCTAACATGCAAATGCTAGGGCCTGTGGGATGGCTCCTCAGCAGGTAGAGGCTAACCCTGACAATCTGGGGCCTCTATGTAGGAGGACAGCCTCCCATGAGTTACCCTCTGGGTTTCACCCTGGGGCTTCTATGTAGGAGGACAGCCTCCCATGAGTTACCCTCTGACCTCCATGTGTGCACAATGGCACATGTGTGTGCACATACATACATACACAATAAACAAAGGAATAACAAAAAAAAACTAATGTAAATATTTCTAGACTGAAATCTTAAGTAATTCTCCCCAGGTTTGCTCCTTTTACAGATAAAATGGACATATTCCAATATTCCCAGAGGCCACCTAAAACATCTTTTTCTCCCTTTTGATGAAAAAAAGAACAAACAGTGAAAATTTGGGGGGTGCAAATTTGGTGGTGAATGCAAGTCCTTCTGGAAAGATATTTAATAATATGATGTCAAAACATACTATAGGCATATACTTGAACCTACCTATAAAATATATGTAATTAAACCCAACATTTAAAACAGGTACAAGTCAGTAGTAGTCATCTTCCTGCAGGACTAGGGTTTCAAACTCAGTGCCCCGCACATGCTAGGAAAGCACTCTTCTAGTACCCTGACAATTTTCTTTTGAAAACTTGGAAAAACAGATTATGAAAAGGTAACTGGTTAAGAAAATTATTATATTGGGCTGGAGAGATGGCTCAGAGGTTAAGAACACTGACTGTTCTTCCAGAGGTCCTGAGTTCAATTCCCAGCAACCACATGGTGGCTCTCAACCATCCGTTATGAGATCTGGTGCCCTCTTCTGGTGTGCAGATATACATGGAAGCAGAATGTTGTATATATAATAAATAAATAAAATCTTAAAAAAAAAAAGAAAGAAAATTATTATATAAAAAACAGAATGCAATTTTTTTTTTTTTTTCCCCGAGACGCACCACCAACGCCGAGCCACAATGTAAATTCTTATATGTAATTATTTTATAGGTAGAAGAAGTGAAGATGTTTATGTCAAAGCAGACCAGTAGGCTTTTAGGAAGCCTCTGATAAAATATCTAATTGATAAACTAATACATTTAAATATGCTAAAGGATTATAAGCATGAAGAATTTAGGAATAAACTAATAATAATACACAAAAAACAACTTGTAGAAAGGCAAAGTACTTAGTAGATAAAGGTGGGAAGAGCAACAGTTCAAAGGCCAGACTGGCTATGCGAAACCCCGCCTTAGAGAGTCAACAGAGAGCAAGCAGGCAGAGACAGTAGTCAGCTGTAGGAAAAACAAAATGCTGCAGGCGGTGGTACACGCACAGGTATAGATAGTTTCAGCACACTGGAAGCAGAGGAATGAGGACTGCTGCAGGTTCAAGGCCAGCCTAGTCTACCCAGAGTTCCAGGTCAGCCAGGGCTACATTGCAATGCTCCTCTCAAAAAACAAACAAACTAGTAAAATTAGCAGTTGCTCATAGATGACTCAGCAGCAGCATTAACATAGTCATAATAGCTGAACAGTAGTATACTGTGATACAGTTGTGTTAAAGCTTTAGGAGTGTGTGCTAGGAAACACTGGAAGAGCAGGAATAAAGACACTATTACTTCTACTTCTAATCTTCACCAAAGCAGAAAGTCAGAAAGTGATTCTAGGAAAACCAAGCAATCCCAAAAATGGACATCATTCAGCATCATCAAGAACCCATGAAACAGCTGAAAGGAGCTGCGTAAGTCCGGGGCAGCACCTTAAAACCACTATTTCAAGAACAAGTCCGTTACCTGAAATCTTCCAATGTGTCCCTGGAGCTCCATCAAGGATCCTTCATTTACATCAACGTCAAGTTCACTTAGCATACCTGTAAGATGTGGATGTGTGTAAATCAGTTTAATGCTAAAATGAAAACACTGCAACGTAGTAGAGAGTGCTTCTGGCATTTTCTGTCCCTTAATAGCAGGAGCAGACTCCTGCCATCAAAGTTTTGAGATGCAGAATTTTCCAAAGACACGTGCTTCTGGCATTTTCTGTCCCTTAATATCAGGAGCAGACTCCTGCCATCAAAGTTTTGAGATGCAGAATTTTCCAAAGACTGTAAGTACCTTTCCTACATTTAGCAACACAAGCACAAGGGCGCATCACAACTAAAATCCAGGTAG